CCCCCAACAAAGCAAGCAGATGTTTTGTTCGGTTATGGTTATACAAATGTAATACACAACTCATTTATTTCTCTCTATCCATTTTCTACAAATATTTTTGCCTGAGGCGAATGTCAAGTCCCCCCTGTCATATTATGACCTGGTAATTGTCCCGCCAACAATATAACACGTAAATGAGACTTAGTAAACAAATGCATAATATGTCAGAACCTGCTCAAGAGGACCACCCATTGTCAAGGAATAAACATGTTGAAATGGTGTAGGTTTAAAGCCCCTATCAAACCATCACTCTGTTTAAGAGGCGACAGCTCCGAGTTTAACGTCCATCTACGAAAGGACCGAAACAAATGAGAAATATTTGTAAATTACCTTTTCCAATGACACAACGTCGGACCGAGCTGGGGCTCGAACTCCGCAACCTGCAATCTCACGATTATGGGTCTCGAAGCCTAACCACGAGGCCATCTACACCATTGCTGTCAAGGAGAGAAAAGGGTAATCTGAAAATAAGCTGTCCTATTGGACAGTGTCTTTAAAAAAGAAAATGGGGAAGTGGGAAGTGGTTGTACAGGTGGTTATGTTGGGCAGGTGGGCGTCAGAACTGGTTCGACCGAGGCTGGAATCCCTAACCAAGGGAATGAATCAACAGATTACTATCATATCTGTTATAAATCGACAGTTGTTTCCCCTGGCACACGGTCGGCAGATCCGATCATAATATTGATAGGGTGAGGTGGTACCCATCTGTCGTATCGTGAAAATAGCATCCTGACTTTGGTGGCTGACAATTTGTGTGTCTTTGATCAACATTTTTTCCCTGTAAAACCCACGCAGAAATGTGTTTTTAAATGGACAGGTATTGAGTCCCCCCCCCAAAAAAAAATAAAAATAAAAAATAAAATAAAATAAAAAAATACACAAATTAAAATGAATAAAGAAATATTTTAAAAATAGATTCTAAATACATGAAATAAAATTCTTAAAATGCAATGGAATAAAATGCAATGAAATAAATAAACATATAAATTATAAAAATACCCCCCCCCAAAAAGAAATAAAGTACAAAAATTAAATAAATAAACAACTAGAAATAAGCTGAAAAGTTGAATAAAATTTCCAGAACAGTCATAAAAATGTCGGGTTCTTCGATTTCTTCATTCTGATCAAGCTTGATTTTACCAAGATAACAGGCTATATAAAGCAATGCGTGCTGACTCCTGATTTTATTCAAGGATCTCCAGATCGACATCGGCTGTGGTTTTGGAACACAGAACAAGTTGTCACATTACACTTCTTCCAGATACACGCTTAGAACATAGCACCATTTCATTGTGACAACTAGAACTCGGCAATACGTGGCCTTCACTGTGTCCATGTGTTTCTGTAAAAAAAATAAATTAGTACCGTGATAAAATCAATTTTTGGTAAGTGTTTTATGGCCCTTGTAACTGCATGGTCATATGAGCGCGCGGGACACATTTACCATTTTCAGTGATAGGAAATTTTGAATTTTGCCCGGGTAGGGGCCGAAGCCTTCTATTATCGATTTTGCACCACCAAGGGATCTTTAACGAGCGCAACTTGCACAACAGATTTCTCCCTAATACGAGAAGGCTAGGTGTTCGATCTTACCTACCTTAAGATAGGGAGTGTGGCTGAAAGACAGCAGTAAGGAGGAGCCAAGCAGTAGAAAGGCTGCAGAAAGAGCCAGGAGCTCGGAGGAGGGGGGAAAAGTAGATGAGGGGGTGGGGGCAGAACCTGGAGACGAAAGCAGACGACAAAACATCGTTAGAGAGTAGGAAAGAGGGTGGGAGGAGAAAATTTTAGAGAAGAAAATGTTTCGCCGCTATCCGGATTCGAACCCGGGCCCTATTGAATGAGAGGTGAACACCTTAACCTCTAAACCAGTGAACCCCCTAAACCGTAATTTCTTCGATACCGCAAAGATAATTGCATAAACAGACTGTAGTTATATAGAATACATTTTCCCCCTCTCACCTGGGGTAATCCATGTATATAGAAAGTAAAAGCTTATCTTTGACCCACCAACTGTAGAAGCCCTTGTCCGAGAACACCTAGCCAGCAGTCGTGCAGAGGACTCCTTCACAAAGGAGGCGGTGATTCCGAAAGGAGTGCAGCCTGGTAAACGTAAGAGGAGCAGACTGCGTGACCCCATCAGACGCTACAACAACCAGCTTATGGTATAGACAATTAGCCTGCCCACACTTAAATGGACCCTCATGAAGAGGGGCGAGGAAGCATGGTGCACTCTGTCTTCCTAAGACCCCAGTTCTACATTCAAGTAATCCATGTATTTAGAAAGTAAAACACATAGAATTGTTGTTGAATGTGGATATACTCTAAACAATAATTGATTGCTGTGTATTTCGCTTCACGGGATGTGTCATCAGAGATTGAAGCGAAAGGACCATCCATTCTTCACAGCCGCGAGGTGGCGTTGCAAATTCTGCAAGATTTAAACACAGGGCAGTCCACGTTTTAATGTTGTCCATTCATGGTTCTCGTCTTCCCCTGGCTCCCCTGCTCCACACCCTTCACTAAAGCGCCTCTTTCACAACGGCAAAGTGTCGTTTTAAGTGACCGAGCTACTGCATTTTTCTTCGTTTTATTTCTTTTATAATTTGACATTGACTTACTCTATCCGTACACCGTGTTTTACTATCGTATCCATACGATGTGGGGAACTCTGTGCCACCACTTTCAGAAGAGGAAATTTACTCGTTAATCCGATCCGTATGCTTGGCATAGCAGTCTGTCCAAACGATTTTTTGAGAAATACTGAAAGTTTCAAAGAGATCATAGCACTAGAATACAACTGCGGGGGTACAAAATGACCCCAGGGCGTACGGAGAGGGCTAAAGACATTATTATTGTGTCCACTTGTTTCTCTAAAATCAAAACCTGAATTGAAGACCTGACAACAAGGCTTGTGCCTCAGTTCATTTTTGCTGAATGGAGAAAAACGACAAAGACAAAAGACTCCAGTCATTAACGTGCTACAGGATACGCTTCAGTCTTTCCCTTTTTTTCGCTACACCGCTTCTTTTGGTGTAATGGTTAGGCTGTTAGCCCTTACACTCGGATGTGTATGGTTCTATTCCCGACTGGTGAATACTGGTATTTAAAAAAAACAACAACAACAAGTATTTCCTTGTTTTGTTGGAATTCTGTTTCACACTCAGCTCATGTTGGCAATGACGGGCAGTGTTGAAGCTGCCCGCCTCCTAAATGATCTACTTTGTGACGCTGGTGGCAGGAAATATTGTTACAACCGTTAATGGTTTACCCTATACAGTTACAGTTGATCTTACGAAGCCCCACAGTATCTGCGTACGTTCCTGTCTACACATAGTGGAGAGAGAGAGAGGTAGAGAGACAGTCAGAATGAGTGAGTGAGCGAGAGAGAGAGAGAGAGAGAGAGAAAGAGA